TAGGTTCAAAGAAAATCACAAAATTAAACAGAAAACTACGACGTTTCGATCGCAACGCAAACGGACGTCTTCAGGAAAAGTGGGGGGGGGGGCCTTTTTCGTGTGGTGTTTGAAAAAGAAAGCGCCAGGCTACAATTGTATTTGAATGTTGTGAGCCATTCCACGGCAGCTGAGTGGAGTCTGCATGTTTCTCCAGAGTACGCATATTGTATTGGGGCAGTCATCGGTGATATATCCGCATGACGGGTTTGACCACACCACATTCATAGTTTTGTGGAGTCCCTGATTGTTCAATTTGCGGAGAACTGATTGTTGTGTTTAGTTGTTCGTCCTCCCCCCGCGCCTCGGATTAGCACGGTTGGCTACGCTACCTACAGTGGGGAAAGAAGTTCAACATTCAAAGATCCCCCGTATACCCTTAACAGACTTTTGGAACAAGTGCTGTTAGCGATTATCTATGAAGGCCGAAACGACATAGAAGGGGGTGGGTGGCCAGAACCACGCCCGGCCGCCTTTGTCTCTCAAGTGGGGATGTTTGCACACCACACCAAGTACTTATTTGAGGCTGAGTCGACCCAAGGGAGGCCCAGTACCGGCTTAGCAATCGTCACCAGTGTTGGTGGCCGTGAGCGGGAATCGAACTCGGGTCGCCGGGTTCGTAGCCCAGCACGCCAAACGCTACGCCACCGCTCCCCAACACACAAAGACAAAGATCGCCCGTATAGCCTGTAACAGACTGTAGGGGGCAAGTGCTATTAGCGAGCACCTATGAAGGCCGGCACGGCACACGAGGGGGTGGGAGGCCAGCATCACGCCCGGCCGCCTTTGTCTCCCCAGTGGCGATGATTTTTACACACCACACCCAGGCACTCATTTGAGGCTGAGTCGACCCAGGTGGGAGGCCCAGGACCGGCTTAGCAATCTTCACTGAGTCGCCAGGTTTGTAGCGCAGCGCGCTAACCACTACACCACCGCTCCCCACACACACTCACATGCGCACATACAAATATCCACGCCACCTTCCACGCGTTGTTGTTGGGACACCGTTGAGGAAGCAGTACCCACTGTCGTAGAGACGGAGAGAAAACCCGGCCGTTCCTTCGCCGAGTGAATTTATTATTCATAATAATTACATTTATTATTCATAATAATTCAATTCATAATTCCCCTGCCATTGTACGTATACACGCAGCAACCTACGCACGGCTAGCAAATCCGAAAGGAATGTGCAATTCGTGAGATCCTATAAGCTTTACAAGAGGGTTCATTTAAAACTGTTAGGATTTGCTTCGCTTCCCTCACAGGATTAATACCATTTCCATTGCAGTATTATATATTTATTTAATACCAGGAATGTCTTGTGAAAGTATAAAACGCAGCAAATGGAATGCGCGTAAGCTTCATGTACATCGAATGCTCGAGGCCACAGCATCTGGAGACGACCGTTCGACTCGACGCGACTTATATTAATTATTGCGGCTCGCAGCGAGACGAACATCTCCCACATCGCCCGTAATTAGAATTGTTTAGCACACCGGAAGGGCGCGCAACCGGTCCAAAGTTCGCGTATTGAAACAATTGCTGGTGCTGGTGATCCTCGAGTTTGCAAGGCAAAATAAAAGGACGCTACATTAAAGCACAAGATAGTTTCACGGTGGATATAGGAGACGGAAGGTGATTTATTATATTTTAGATTCGCTTTCTTGCGTTCCGACTGTAACTATTGCAAAAAAACATTTCATTATGATATAATATTATATAATATTATTATGTATAATTATTGACGGCTTTTGCCAAATCCGCTACCGGATGATGGCTCAGTGCCACCCACCACAAGTATCGTGTGTGTGTGTGTTTAAATAATAACAACGGTAGTGGAAGCAGGATGCTGACGTTAGACCGGGAATAACACAGCAAGCAGTATTCTTTGGGTCTTTCGAAACAGTCACGTAGATATGTTCAAAGATCGAAAGTCGTCGTTTTTTATTCCTTTCTTCGAACCTATCTACGTGACCTTACCGAAAGACCGATTGAATATGAATTCCTGCAGTCGTGAAAGCTTTAAGTTAAGACAGCCAGCAGTGTTCTAACCACCGCGGCACCGCTACCAACCCCCCTCCATACCACCACCCCACAGGCTGCAGCATGGAGACCGTGCAGGAGAAATTTCAAATGTGGGCGGGAAACATAAGCGCTGCCTTACGGCGACAAAACACACTGCTCTACAAAGTGAAACAAATGCTGCACTGACGAGAGGTGCGGTCGTATGATCTGTCTGTTTTGAGGACGACCTTCGTAATCTTCAACTAAAAACTCTTTTTCAGAAGCGAATTGGTCACAAATGATAGCTCAACGAAGCGGTGTATCACGTGGACATTTGTCGCAGCCAAACACTCTAAACGCGTGTCAATTATAAATGTGGAGGAAAAGACCTAAGGACCCGGAGAATAATCCACGCGTCCACGGGGAGACAGAGACACGCCAACTCCAAATATACAGCAGCAGGCGTCAGGGTCAGGTTCGAAGCCACGACCTCCTGCATACCAGGCGAGGGAGATAACATCTCGCCACCGCGGAGCCGCAATTATAGTATGACCTTAAACATATTCAATATAATTTGGGGCTGGAAGGGGTGGAGTGCTGGGAACAGTATTTTTTTATTCGAGCGGGGAGGAGGTGATACCAGCGGTTGAAAACCCACCGGCATAGAAGCGTTGTCGATTGACTGTAACGCGTGAATTGCTGTCAACGTGAACGCGCGCACACGAAGAAGCAACAGGAGAGATTTGAAAAATCTCCTCCTAATCATCATCAGCGAGGCGATGCGCTCACGTGCCCCCCCCCCCCCCCCCCCCCCCCCCGCGACACAACAACGCCACATCGTTTCAACTTCATTTTGCAATCGTTTCAATCCGGGGTGTCGCCAAGGAAACCTGTTAAATGTTCTCCAACGCGACACTCATCCCGCGTGCCCTTTTGTTGCGCGCTTTTCCTTTAAATTACAAAAAAAAAGAGGCAACGCAGGCGCGCTGCGCGAAACGCGGAGCGCGGATTCAAGGTGCGCGACGGAGCACGGAGTGCCCTTTAACGGGACGAGCGGCCGCCGCGTTCTGGAAAACGGGGTCCAAAGCGCGCCCCTGTAGCAGCGATCCCTTAAAACGCAAACATCAGGGTTTTATTTCTCATAAATTATGTTTTCCAGCTTCCCCTCCCCCCCCCCAAACTCCGTTAACCCACAAGGGCATCGCTCCTGACAGCAGTGCGAAATGTTTCCCAGTGTTGACATCTTCGACTGATGTTAAGCCTGTCGAATTATTACCGCTTTGGAAAACGCGTCCAAAGCGACTGTAGCAGAGACTCCTGTACGTCCACTCTTACGTCTGACCGAGAGGCATATTTCCTCGACAATGGGCGACATATTTGACGTGTCTCAGATAACTCCGCCTGAAATTACTCCCTGGACATGTCTAGTGTGTTCCCTCGTTTCTCCTTTGTCACCATCGCCTAAATACTGCATCATATAATCTTTTAGGCCATGGAAATAATTGACCGCAATTATTGCCAACCTAGAGAATACAAAGCCGCGTGGATTGGTGATCGACCACCACCAGGGCCTGCGAGGAGATGGCAACGCTGAGTGTCACAACCCTCTCGTATACCTGGTGGGTTTGTCAGAATCGGAATATTTAGTTATGCTGAAGGAACCCGATGAGCCATAAAGCTCTTTTTCACAGTACATCTGTGAAATGGAATGAAATGGCTTTTTAATTAGCCCGGTATTGTAATAATGCATAACCAAATCATTTGAGCTGAGCTAACCGGTCGGCTAAAGTAGTGAACTATTTGTCTTTTGTAAACGTGACACATTTTTTTACTGTTTGGCGTGTCGGGTGATGAAGGGTTACGACAAATTTATAAATAACCAAAAACCTTTATTATGAATAATATTGGTCGCGAAAGCCTACGCGTGTTAAACGATTACGTATGTTACACTTTTTTTGTTTATGTTAGACATATAGTAGATTTGTAACCCGGTAAGCTGTCTTCATTTGCCTTCTATGGGCTTTAACATCACACTCCACAGGAGACAAATCACTTAGTTCACTGGCAATGGGGATCATTATCCGTGCACGCGTGAGGCCAAACACTGGTGAATGGGGTTAGCCAAACACGGCGAAGGAGGAGGACCCTCCTGAACTAAGAGAGAGAGATTGTGTGGCAAATATATGAAACGTGTCATAAAAAAAGCGAAAATAATAGCTAAACAAATGTAAGATTTAGTTAAACTGAACCCTGTTGGCACAGCATGCCCGGTTGTGGTGTGTGATGCAGACAACACCATACCAAATACATCTGGTAAGCCAGCAGTGTTTGTTTTAGCACGCTGACTGCCGATGAACCCCAGAATGGAAAAAACCGGTGCAGAGTTTGAAACAAATGCTGCTGTGAACGCATGCGAGGCGTTTCTGAGGTATATAATTGGTAGGATTCGATTCTATATTAATGCAACAATTACAGTGTGTTGTGTTAAATCCCTGAATCATGAATTGCACATTTTATGAATGAACATTTCAACATTATTGCCGAGCTTATCAAAACCACTGCAATATTACCCACGTAAACCTATTGAAATCATGACGAGAAAAATATTTGAACATTCTTGAGCATTACGAGACCTGAGATTGTCCTAACGCATCTATCACCAGCGCACACACTTGCTGCTGGTCTGTGCACCCGTTGCATGTATAGACAAGCCTACGTGGAAGATATCTCCCTCAAAGCCAAAAGAGCTCAATGTTTCACTCTCAAAGCTCTATCGGCAATTACGGAATGTCAGAATTGTGTACGCTGTAAAGCTCTCGCGGCCACACAGCCCACACATCATAGGCGGGGGGGGGGGGGGGGGCGGGGAGGGGGGGGTGTGCACGACTGTATGGACTAACCTCCCACGGGGCATGGACTTACAAAATGAGGGATCCGGATTTTTTTTTGGTTTCTTTTTACGCGAGCGTGCGTCCCGTGGTGTCCAAAACACGGTGAGGGAGGCGCGATTGGATTTTGAGAAGCCGGAGTTGAGTTGAAAGTGGAGCGGAAAAAGTGGAAGATGATGACACTTGGCTGTGGTCATCTCCGTGCAGAGGAGTAACACGCGCAGCCCAGGCAGGCGGCAAGGGCAACACAGAAAGAGAGAGGGGGGGGGGGGGGGGTGAGTCAGTGAGGAATTAAAGGAGACAGACCTCAGCAAGAGCAAGGGACACGGCACGTCGACCCGAAGCCACGATGGAAGAGAGCTTGTCTCCGCTGAGGGCCACCGCGTGGGAGGTGCCGCTCACTGCAGGAGGAGCGAGCGAGACCGAGCCCAGCAGCGGTCACACCAACGGCGCACGGAGCCTCCTGCTCCTCTGCTCGCACGACAAGAACGGACCCCTGGTGCAAGCCAAGACCTCGCTGCACCCGTCCATGAGCGCAGGTCACCTCAACAACCAGCAGCAGTACACAGAGCTGGCCAGAAACGAGGGCTTGGCCCCGAGCGACCAATACTGGGTGGGGGATTTGGGAGAGCGCGCCTTGCGAGACAGCCAAGACGCGAAGCCCTCGTCAGACAGCGAAGAGGTGGCCCGGAGCTGCGACAGTGGAGGAGCAGGGGGAGGTGGAGATAGTGGCGGCGGCGGCGGTGGTGGTGGTGATGCAGGAGGAGGAGGCGGCGGGGAAGGCAAAGCAGTGGCCGAGGTCGTGGGCTCCGAGCAGTCGGCGTCGTGCAACTCGGCTCCAGACGGCAACCCGCACGAGAAGACGCTCGTGGTGCACGGCCCAGAGGAGGCGAACGAGAGGGACACGTGGAGCAAGAAAATGGACTTTCTGCTGTCCGTCATCGGCTTCGCGGTGGACCTGGGCAACGTGTGGCGATTCCCGTACGTCTGCTACCAGAACGGAGGCGGTAAGCGGTCAGCCTTGTCCCTGCTCACTTTATTAACACCCCCAGCACCGCCGCCGAGTCAGTAATGTACCCACGTGTGCGCTTCGCAATGGTCTTCAGCAGTAGCGATAGGACTCGGCAATTAATTCACGGTGGGATCTCCACGGCGCTTTTAGAAGAGTTCCCACGGTGACAAAATACATGGGTACGAAAATAAATGTATGGGGAGGGGGGGGGGGGGGTTTGTTGTAATAGGGACAGACGAGAGACTTGTTATCAAACTGGACAGGACAAAGGCATCGTTCGCCGACTTTGACCGCGCCACGTAACTTGAACTGAGCGTGCTGAGCGTGGCTCAGTTCAAGAGTGCTGCTGGGTGCGCGCGCATAGACGCAGCGGTGTCGGAGCAGACACAGGTCGGAGCTTGTTGCACGCTCGTTGGGAGGGTTTGTTTCCTTCTTACCCCCCCCCCCCCCCCCCAGCACACGGACGGGGGAAATTTCGTCGCAGTTGTTCTTCCTTCTGTCTGTCTGTGGTTGTGGTCGTCGTTCAAACGAAGGTAGATTTCATGCGAATCGAATCGCCGTGGTTTTGTGTCTTCAGCACGCACTTGGTATGTGGTGTGGAACGTTGCAACGCAACTTTATAGAAAGTGACGCCTTAAGGAACGCACGAAAAACATATATATATTTTTAAGGCAGTGTTTTTTTGACGAGTTGTGTGTTGAGTTGTTTATTGTGTTCGTGCGCCACTGCCAAATCAGCGACAGCATCACCGAATGATTAGTTTTATGCCCTAATGGAGAGTGGAGCAACTTAATGCGTGCCATGTTATCGTAGATGTTGTGGTAATAAAAAAAATGCATTATTATATTGATTACACAACATTGAAAATGAACCATACGGTATATGAGTACAGATTCAACTATACTTGCTGCTCATGAAGGTAAGTACTTTAAGTTCCCTCCGCATAGATAACGCATACCCGAATACATTTGAGTAATAAAATGTAAAAAAAAAACACCAAACGTAAATAATACCCGTCCCGGCGCAGCGTACTTAATGTTTACACAGGGCAGAGTACTGATAATCTGACAGCGGAAAGTGTCAATATATTACCTGGGTTACACCCTAACTTCATTGGCGAAGTGGCATCCTTTGTTTTTTTGTAGCAGGCGACAGGGAGGATGTTTAAGTAAAGCTTTTTCACGCACGCGGGCGAGCCGTACGCCAGCAGAATGAATGCAAGAGGCGGAACCTGATTGTGTGTTCGTTATCATTTTCGTGACCGGATTTAGCTGAATTCCTTTTTTATGCCACTTTTTTTGTAACCCGGATCCCTCTTGCAGATGAGACTCTGTCCTGATGAGACTCTGTCCTGATGAGACTCTGTCCTGATGAGACTCTGTCCTGATGAGACTCTGTCCTGATGAGACTCTGTCCTGATGAGACTCTGTCCTGATCTCGGGAGGTCTCGTCAGGCTTAGACAATGTCAAGTGGAACCAAAGTAAGAGAGCGACGTGGATTTTGCACGCAGTGTGCAATAATATAAAACAATAAATGCAAGTTTAAGATCAACGACAAAAAAATAACAAGTGGAAACAATTAACAGGGCGAAATGTGAACAACAATAAAACGAAAACAGAAAGAAAATGCATACGGTATTTAGACGCGTTTATCGATTAATTCAATTTTGAAACGGCTCGCCAGAATTGGTAACGGACATCGCTCAGATTTCCCCGAGGCAACCGGAGAGCATGGGCTTAGATATTCCTTCACTCCGCTATAACAAACAAATACATATATTTAAGAACGCACAATAGTTTGTTCTTGTTACAAACGAGACGAGATGAGATCAGCGATCAAAAGCGAATTTACGCTCAAATTTTCCAACCAATTAACTCAATGTTACATCAAAGACCGACCGAGGAGGGTGAATGTGCCAGGCAGCGAAAACCACGTGGGGGTAGGCAGTTGCGCAGTGGTTAGCGCACTACTACGCTACAAACCCACCAACCTAGAATTCGATTCCCAGCTACGGCTAACATCAGTGGCGAGTGATAACCAAACCGGTCCCAGGCTCTCTGTAAACCCCCCTCCCCAACCACCTCATTCACCAACTTACCACTGATCAGTTGGGTGAAGTATGGTCAAACTACCCCCATGAACGACATGGCGTTAAGAGTGCTCCATCCAGCAGTGAATTGACAAATGTGCTGCAAGTTTTGTAAATAAACAATTAAAGTGGTGAAACGTTCTCTTGAGTTACACCAGGATATTAGGAACGCTCTCACTCTCTCTGAAAGTATGCTTTCCCCCATGTCTCTTTGCAAAGTGTGTGTTTGTAGCCATGTCAAATGTACACAAATGAACGAATCCGTTATGGGCCAGTTCGCTGCATGCGCTCTTGTTGAATTTGTATAAAATGGTAATTCCGTTGTGATATGCTTTTGTGTTTGTGGCTGCAAAGTGCGCGTAGACTCTCCGTCGTAGCTGCTGTCGGCTGCACAAAGTTTGTGGGTGGTGCCAGGCTTGTGGGGACGCTGCTGCGTGAATTAATGTACGTGGATGTGCGTTGAACTTCTTTCGCACCGTACGTAGGCAACTGCAATAATCGGAGGTGCGGGGGAAGGACAACAAACTAAACGCAAAAAAGCAGATCGAAATGACTTCGTTTAAAAACAAAAATGGTCAGAAAGATGGATATCGATCTCCTGGTGGGGCAGTTGAAACAATTGTTGATTTTTATTTTTTTACCTACGCGACTTTACCGAATAGAACCAAAGAGTACAATGGTGCAAGTTTATCAAATCCCATCTCGGCTCTTCTCGCCGCGGTTGCATAAATGGGTAAAACCAACAGTGTCAGTAGACTGATACATCGCGTGCGGTGAGGTGTGGGTCGTCCCACCTCTTCCAAGACCTCTCTGGCCAGCGTATGGGAAAGTGGGCCAAACTCCGACCGGAGGGGCTTTGTAAAAGGCACCGTTGCGTGAAAGGCCTTCCTGCGGCAGTAGGAGCGAACAACAAAATCGCGCGGCTGCATCTTTGCCTTCTTGTGTCATCTCCGTCCGTCGAGCTCTACCAAGTCTGCGAGCTGAACTGCGCCCCAAGTTTGTGAATCGCAGCCGAAGTTTCGCGAGTTGCATGCTCCACGTTTGTGAGTTGCGTCGCCTCTAATCGATGGATCGCGTTTTCTCAGGGGCATTCCTGATCCCCTACTGCCTGATGGCCGTGTTCGGAGGCATCCCCCTCTTTTACATGGAGCTCGCCCTGGGACAGTTCCATCGAAACGGAGCTATTTCCATCTGGCGCCGCATCTGCCCCATCTTCAAAGGTTCGCTTCTTCCTCTCGAGTCCCACCCCCTCCCCCTTCTCTCTCCATAAAAATGAATACTCTCTGCCATTGCCACCGTCATCGCATATATATATATGGATGCTGTGTTGCAATGAGAGCAGTGGCACAAGTGTCGAGTGTGCAGGCGGTGCAACTGCACTGGGGCACGTGAGCCGGAGGGGTTCTGGGTGCCATCAGGCATCGGCGGAGTTTGCGGGTGGAGGAGCGCTGGGCACCTTTTATTAATTTATTTTCAGTATCTTAGAATTAAGATTTTTAATTTTTTTTTTTATCAGCCATCGATTCCTAATGTGAGGGACAAAGCGACCCCCCCCCCCCCCCGCCCCCCCAAAAGAAAAGTTAATCTCCGCCTATGGGTACCAGGGCAACAAAGATAGGGAAGGTGGACAGAGAGAAGGGCACCATTCAATGCCTTGCATCAAGGCCCAGGTCAACCACTCCATGACACCGAATTGGGGATAGTATGAAGGGATTTAAGATATACGGTTTGACCAATTGCTTTTCTTCATAGGAATGTAGAGGAGGCACTTTTGTTTTAGTCCAGATTGTGACTTGTAAGTGGGAGTAATGTTTACAATGAGGTTTATGACGAAAAGTAAAATATGCCGAGGGAATAGTGCCGTGTATAAATCCTTTTTCGTTATTTATATATTTTTTACATATAACTTCTTGCTAATGATGTTCCCGAAGGACTATAAAGATGAAATCCGGCACAAATATAGTAAAATATATGCTCGTAATTGTAATAACCAGAACAACTTGACTTTGAAAATTATAGACTTGTAAACATGACTCAGCGTTTGATTGGTTTCACTAACATGGTAGATTCAGCCTACGGAACTAAATCACTTTAAGTCTCACGCTAAACACTTACACATATATATCATTCCCATTATCAGTCAACTAAGTAATTTGTCTCCTTTGGAATGAGATGCTAAAACCCATAGAAGGCAAATGAAGACTGCTTCAATGAAAGTCTAACATAAAAATGTAACATACGTAATAGCTCAAATGATTAGGTTATGCATTATTATAATACCATGGCTCATAACATAGCTTTTTCATTCCATTTCACAGATGTCCATTCGACTGGAGATCTGTGAAAAAGAGCTTCATAGCTCATCGGATTCCTTCAGGATAAATAGAGATTCTCACTCTGAGTTTTAAAAAAATGCGAATCTCCTTCTTGGCAGATCAAACTTGGGTAGAGGTCAAACAGGACATTTGTCCAAGGCCCAAAACATCAGAGAGGGCCATGGAATACATTTCACGTTTTATTCAGAAAATTATGACTTTTAATCCATGTTATTGATTTAATATGAACAACATAAGCAATACTATCTTTACTACCTTCATGGATTTCTGGGAGGGAGGGAGGCAGTCCCAAATTCTACCTCGCCTTTTCCCTATATTTAGTGGCAGCCACTCATGTAGTCAGAGGTTCACATTCTAAATTGGACCCAAACTAAGACTGAACAATGTTTTATTTTAGCAGGTAAGTCCCGTTGAGCTCTACAGTTCTTTGTCAGACGTGACCTGGCCACAAATGATAGCTCAACAAAGTGGCTTATCATGTGGATATTCATAGCAGCCAAAATACTCTCAAGTATTGTGCATTCTTGACGGCTCCAATACAAAGGTCCTGTCCTCCGTACAAGAGGCTGCATACAGGGAGGTGGTTCAGAGTGGGTTGGGAACAAAATACCTACTCGCGTGAAATATAGGAATAGGATCATTTTAAAGTCACTAATACTACCAGTGCAATGATATTACATTATCCATATATTCTATTCACAGGGGCTGTTTACAAAATACTTACTTTGTGATAAGCGGGGTAGAGCGGTGGTGCAGTGGTTAGCACACTGCGCTGTGAACCTGGTGACGCCAATTTCATTGTCAACCTCTGACAACACGAGTGGCGAGAGATCAGGGTCACCCCCAATCACCAACCTGCACTGACCAGCGTGCTGAAGTTAAAATAGCCTCCACTACGAGCACGATATGGGGAAGCCTTAAACCAGCAGTAGATGGGAAAATGACTATACATCATTCTTCTAATTTGTGATAAGCATGAGTATGCATACTTTTGGTAGCGTTTGAATGTTTATATTTATTTTACATATCATGGGCCTTAATCAACATACACAGATAAGTGTACATCCAATGTGCAAACGCATGTGAAACGTAATATCCATTTACACAAAACTGCACTGTTGAATTGTTTTGAATGAACAAAAAAAAATCGCACCAAGTGGACGATAATATTTGACTTACGGCATCTTGAGATGTTCGTTACGTCATAAAACAAACACGGGGCGCACGTGTTCGCAACATTTTTTAGCGGATAACAACTTTGGCCGTGCCTTGCCCCCTCCGCCGCGCTGTCGTTCGCCCAAGGTGTGGGCTTTGCCATCTGCATCATTAACTTTTACGTCGCCTTCTACTACAACACCATCATCGCCTGGGCCCTCTACTACCTCTACTCCTCGTTCACGTCCACGCTGCCCTGGACCAAATGCGATAACCCGTGGAACACGGTCAACTGCACGAGCTACTTCGACACGACCGGGGTGGCCTGGGGCAAGCACTCGCGCTCCCCTGCCGAGGAGTTTTACACGTGAGTTGTTGTTGTTGTTTTAAGTGGAATTACAAAGTTCCTCCCTAGGGACAAACAAACATTTACAACACACCCGCGCGTGTTTGCGCGGCGCCGCCACGCCACGTGTGCTCCATTGCGGTTTAGGGGTAAAAAAACAAAAAACCGGGCGTCTTTGTTTGAGATGGGAGTTAGTGACCCCCCCTCTCGGCTGAGGATAGGCGATCATTTCAGCTGCCTGTTGCACCTCTGATTAGCAGGGTTAGCTACGTACGCATACTTGTCAACTCCTTATCAGTGCCTACCTTGTTACAGACAAATTCATACCTTGTTGATCACTCCGTGCCCTAATACATCTCAACGTTCATCCTACAAAGTCTCATCACAAGGGAGAAACAAAAAAAAAATAGACAATTATTTTGCCCGTGTTAAAACGGCTGTATGCCGTATGGACCTGAAAACTCAATTTCCCTGTACACGAATACAGGTAAACCGTATGGGTTGACAGGTGTGTGTACGGTGCGAAAGAAGTTCAACATACACACAGACACACGTGCATTACGAGAGACGGTCAACCGGTGGCAGTGTTTTGAAATTCACAAGCAGAGCTAGGTACTGTGCACGCAGCAAATTGGGATCTCCATAGAGTGGTGCAAAATGAGGTGGTGTGCCTTTGACCAAATCACCCGGAGGGAACCCGATTTCGTCAGAGCTCAGAAGCTAAGCAGGTTTTGAACCTGCTATTTGTTGGACAGCAGATGGCATGGTAGCGAAATGCCACTGTTGTACCGCACCGTATGTCTATGTTCCCACGTATATACTCACCGCTCTTTTAAAACCTGCGCTGGCCAGCGTGAAGTGAGGTCAAACGACCTCCACGACCAACACGCCGTGCGGAGGCCCTCATGCACCTCTGGACAGACAAAAGAGATGCACGTGGCTCGACAGGGCTCAACGAGTCAGCCTTAAAAACGGGGGAGTATTTGATTGGACGAATGATGTTGCTGTGGATGCTGGTGGAGGGTCGGGAAAGGGGTAGGTGCGTCCTGGGAGGGGATGTGAATGTAATATTTCACAGGCAAGGTACAGTGGGTTTATGCAAACAAGAAAGTTAAGTCCTCAATTGAAGCATTAAAAAAAAGCTGGACGGCGTTCAGCTGGCTCATGGCCAGCGCCGCTGAGACGCTGGGTTCAGTCCAGCAGTGGATTGACTATTGGCAACGGAAGTACAACAGAGATGTACAGCGAATGATGATACTGTGCATGCAAAATGATGAACACGAGATGGCATAGCTTTCTGTGTTCCCGCAACGAGAGTCAAACGCCTTCTTCAATTGAAGCGATCGTAGACACACGAGGCATCCACCCTCTCACACCGGTTCGACTTGATGCAAGAGATATTCACCAGTGAACACCTAGAGGCTGCGTCGCAGGGATCACTAATGGCACACAGAAGGGGGATCCGGTCCCATGTTGCTGATTTGTTTCTGATCTGACCTTTCCCCCCAGTGAGCTATTTCTCTTCACCATCCTCTTTCTTTCGTCTTTTTTTGCGTTCTCCTCCTCCTGTAGTCTTCTCCTATCCGTCTCCCCCTTGTTCGTGCTGCCTCCTGTCTTCTTCCTGCTCCATAGATCGCAGCTGGGGGGGGGGGGGGGCACGTCAAAGATGAGCCACGGTGGAGCGATTTCGGCCCTGCAACTCCAAACTGTGGACCGTACAGTAAACCACTGCAGTCTTCACTCCCTTCAAACGGGAGGCGGAAAATAATGCCACAACCACACGCCAGCTCCGAAACAGATTGCCACGTGCAAAGATAGTATAGGATCTGGAGGGTTGCGCACTTTGGCTGATTGTTTTTGCATTGCCGTTGAAGAGACGTAACTCATCTCAAGCGGTGAGCGTGGCTTTCTCTTACAGTCGCAACGTGCTGGAGATTCAGTACTCGAAAGGGCTCGGCGGTGTGGGCGGGCTCAGGTGGCAGCTCCTCCTCTGCCTCTTCCTCATCTTCACCATTGTTTACTTTAGCCTCTGGAAAGGAGTGAAAACCTCGGGCAAGGTAAGCGCGAGATTCTTCGAAAGTTGGCGTGGGTACGCGCACCACAGATCCCCCCGCGTCGTCCACGTTTGGCACAAAGCGATCAGCCGTTCACGCCGGGGTGGAATACGTTTTCGGAGATTTGATTTGTGATTATCCTCCAACGGCAATATCCGGTTTCATTTCAGGGGAGAAGAGATTGGTGATAAAATGCCGTGCGTTTTGGCTGTGGGAGCAAAAAGGAAAAATTGAAAGGACAAAACCTGGGCCTGGAACAAAAATGTTAATAAGGCCAACGATGAAAACATCCCTGGGCCACTAACAGCTCGCACACTGCCTCTTAGAAACCCCACATTACGGAATCACCTATCACAATAGTCCAGTGAGACTCGGTGACCTAAAGTTGACGATTCCTTAAATATATATATATTTAAAAGTATTCTGGCATCAGTGGCAAGAAGGTGAAAAACAGTAACACCTAGAGCAACAAAAACCGACCAAAATATCCCCAAAAATAACACGCTGTGCCCGAATGCTTCACATGCGTGCAATAGTTATATTGGATTAGCAAACATGTGAAATCTTGAAAAATAAGAACATCCAAGATACAGAGCTCCTTATTCATCATCTAACAACCACCCTGGGATTGGGAGTCACTGACTTATATTGACCGTGTAGATTTATTTCAGGAACACAACATGTTTGTGGTCACGCATGTGGGAGTGTGCGCGTGTGGCTGAGTAAACCCTCAACTTTGTGATGGTATCGCAAATGATGACCAGTTTGCAGTCAGTTGCAGTGCACCTCCGATCACCACGGATGGCTACGTACGATGTGAAAGAAGTTCAACACACATGCACCAGAAACTTTTTTGCATGATTAATCTCCGCCCATCCAGTGGATCTCAGTAACCGACCTTGTCTCAGGGAATAATATACTGTTAAAACCAAAGACGCGAATAATATACTTTAGTCACACAGCGCAAAGAAAATATAAATCACTACATTTCCATACAACCCAGTGAACAGTTGCCGTTGAGTGTGAAGTTTAATATCTGTCCAGTGGATCATCGGATACAGGTTTTGGGTGATTCAACGAGATAACACAACATGAACGGCGTGTGTTAGGGTTGCGACGAACAGCAAGCACAAACTTGAGCGAACATTTTTTCGCAGACCAAATTATGAAACGCGGGAGGCTGCTGACTTGCGAAGAACGTACGCCCGTGACTTTTAGTGGCGGAGTTTTTATGATCTCATAGAGCCTGTTTATTTAATTGCCAATAACGTGGTAGATTTTTATGGAAAAGAGGAAGCATAGTCATGTCTCAATAATAATCATTTGCACTTATAAAGCGCCTTTCACAATAAAGCCTCAAGGCGCCGTGAATAAAAAGGAGAAATGTATAAAGGAAGAACCAGGCAGCACACGCAGAGCCCAAAGAGGAGCAAATCTCATTAGGAAAATATTTATTTTAAGATAACGTTTAAGTTGGGACTTTAAGATGTCAACACTACCTGATCTCCCAAAGGGAGGGAGCTCCACTAAAGGCAAAAAGAACGTGGTCAGGATAGTGGACACACCAACAAAGTGCTAGAAACGCGTCGTCGTACATTCATTCAAAGTGTTCCCACACTCCTGACTGGAAGCAACGTGAACGTTCCTGCTTAGGGAAAAAAACAAACAACCCACTGACCTTTGAGTTGCAGTTTTTATGGGAACATGAGTATGTGATTTTGTGGCACAGACAGCAGCAGTAAAGCAAATGCAAGTCCACAGGTGAACATTCCTGCCCAGCTACAGCCACAGGCAGCTTCTGTGGTCTGCAGGGGTGCAACCCCAGTATAAGATGCGAGAGGTGTTCACAATTCTTGACATAGGTGTGCTGTTGAAGGAGTGTCATTTCTTATTTAAAAAAAAATGTAAATTGCACCACTTCCAGTACAGTATAGAAACTACATGTCACATGGCCTAGAGGTAGCGAATTCAGCGCTCGTTGCAGAGCTCCACGTGTTGAATCCGATGGTTGTCCTGGTTAATATACCGCGGTGGGTGCATTAAATGTAACAATACACAGTAGACGTTTAAATATCCCGTGACACCATTCGCAATAGGTAGGCCATTGCGTGCCAGTGGTATGGTCCACATTTTCCACATTTGAAGAGTTTCCTGCAACTTTCTCAATTGGGATTACACGTAGAAATCATGCGCCGCACAGGGGCAGCTGCCGCTAGGGGGCGCCCTGTAGAATGTGTTGAGTTGATCTGTGATGGAAGTTGCTTATCTCGCTCTGAGATGCCCTCGTGTGAAGGGCAATCGCCACAATGTCCTCCCTCGACTCTACGGGGTTGCTGGCTGCACCCGATGTTTACTGATGCACGGAACTCCCGTGCCGGGGTGTTGTGAGCTCTGCGTAGGGCAAGAGGACGTCAGAAGCGACCATCTCCTGTTTTGTGCTCACGGCCTCCTCCTCCTCCTCCTCCTCTCTCTCCCGTACTGGAGTCACGCTGTGCGCGTGTATGTCGCCCGCCGTTCTGCTAGGTGGTGTGGGTGACGGCCACCTTCCCCTACGTGGTGCTCTTCATCCTGCTCATTCGAGGCGCCACCCTGCCCGGGGCATGGAGAGGAGTCCTCTTCTACCTCAAACCAAACTGGAAGAAGCTGCTGACTACAGAGGTGGGTCCCACCCGTCAACCGCGTCCTCCTTGCGGGGAGACATTGAGGAGTGCACCTCGTCGCACCCTCGCTCAATTCTCAATGCGCTTGTGTGTGGGGTGCTGCCCTGGTGTGATAGCTGCAGACTGGAGTTTAACACGCAGCCTTTCGCCACCAATATTATTCATCATACAGGTTTTTGAGGTGAGATCGCGTAAATATCAATGTGTTGTTAAATCGCCACCGCCCGACACAGCCAATAAGTCAGGTTTGTCACGTAAATGTTGTCACGTAAATTTGGTAAATTGCATAGGTTGTGGTTTACGCTCCTACACACGTGCGTGCTGAAGTAGAAACTAATTGGCACGTTTTGTTCACGCGACAAACCTTACTATTACGTTCTTGGTTATTTCGGTGAAGTCACGTAGATTTTTTTTTTAATAAATAGATCTAAAAAAGCAAAAAAGGCACGACGTTTCGGTCGCAACCCTTTGATCATTGATGAAGACCGCTTGTGTTGCCATCGAAACGTCGTGGGTTTTTTGCCTTCATTTCAATTAAATGTTTCACTTTTATTTTCTATCCACGTGACTTTACCGAAAGAACCAAGAATATGAATTCCTGCAGTCACGAAAGTTTTCAGTCAAAACCTTACTAATTTACCTGCGTCGGGTGTAGGTAGGTTTTCTCGACACATTTACGCGATCTAACCCACAAAACACCTTTATTCCTACAACCTGGACTTGAAATCCAGAGGTACACCGGTTTGTTTCCGGGCATGGCAATTGAAACGACGGTGCAAGTTTCTTAAACCCTACCACCACTGCCAGCAGTATACATGGGTACATCGCAATTCGTCGATCTGCAGGTCGTGTGTAGTGGGGTAAAGTTTTGGTACTCCCAACTTCTTCCAAGTCGCCTGCCCATTGTACCAAAGTAAATAAAAATATTCTCGAAAGGGGCTCTGTAAAGTTCCCACGAGTTGAGAGGTCCTTCCGCCAACAGTGGCGTTATCGGCACTTGCAGTGCAGGGCTGCACCTTTACCATGTACAATTATGTACAAGTTCATATGCAGCACAGCGTAAATTCACTGCTGGATGAGGTCCTCTATATAACCGTGAAAGTCATGTGAGTTAGATCACCCTACCTCCCCATACTGGTCAGGGCAAATTGGTGAATGCAGAAAGTGTACACGTGGGGAGAATATGTTCACTACAACAGTGGATTTTGTTGTTGCCTTACCCTCATCTGCCCATACCGTAGCCCCATAGCAGCCTATGACAGCCGGGCGTGTATGGGATGTAACCCATCCAAGCACAAATTAGGCTCAACGCTGCTTAGCGTTCGTGATCCGATGAGACCGGGCAGAGTCTGAACATGTTACTTACGTCACGGGTAAATAGAACCGTATAAATCATCAACGATTTAATTAATTACAACTATGTACTGAATGCATAAATCACTAACAATGTATCCAATTGTTGTTTTCTTGAAAAAAAAGAAAATACATATATTTAGTTTGTATTATTCCAAACGTTATTTCAATCGTGCTCTCAGTGTGATCTCATGAGAGACGGCCAATCCATTGGTAACTCGCACGGATAATTATAAACCCACGCAGAAGTGGATTTCAAATATCCGGAGAAAAATACATTTCTGATTATTTTTTTTGGATGAGAAATCTTTGTCACGCGACAGCCAAAAAAACAATTGTTTTAAACCTCAACCAAAAACGAGGGGTGTTAATTTAATCTGTTTCTTTATTTATTTCGCGTGGTCATTGGTTGACTGGGCCGCAAACCTCAACTCGTGACTGACACCTGGAACCCAATGCGGGATTTCAGCGGCGCTGGCCCTGAGCCATCTGAACACCTTTCCTTTATATATTTTATATTATATTGAGCACTTACATTGTTGATATAAACGCACTGTACCTTGCCTGAGAAACATTACACGTAACCCCCCCCCCCACCCCCCAGGGCACACCTACTAACCCTTCACGACCCTCCACCATCCCTGACAACAACAACATCATCATCGTAATGCCAATCAAAATACATGTCATTCATTAACTGTTGGGACTTCAACGTGAACATGCACAGCCCTTTCGTCAATGCACTGCTGCATGAGGGCCTCCCTAAACCCTTTTGGTGACTGAGGCCACGACTAATCTATACGATTACTACGATTGCTTTTTTTTTTTTACCTGGTAAGGCTCACTAAGCTATGCAGATTTTTTTTCAGAAGTGACCTGGCCACATATGATAGCTCAACGAAGTGGCTTATCGTGTGGAAATGTAAAGCAGCCAAATACTCCCAAACGCGTGACGTTGATTCTAAATGTGAAGGGAAAAACCGAAGGATCCGGAGAAAAATCCACAACGGCCACGGGGAGAATATGCAAACTTCAAAAATACAGGCGTCAGGGTCTACCAGGAGAGGAAGTCAACACTATGTAACACAATTTTTGTTCCTGGGTAGTAAGTTTTATTTCGTAATTGCTTATGCCTAAAAAGTATAGAAAATGGTTATTATTCCCCACAAACTTTGCGTTTGTGACCAGGACAGTGATCTTTTGAAATGTACCTATTTTCAATGAGAAAACGGGCGAAGTTGTGCCTTTTCGTTCACATAAAGTCAGAAAAAACAACATATGAATCAAAATGAGCATGTCTTTATATTAAAGTAATAAAGAACTTACTACAAAAGATTTAGAAGTGAATAGTTTTTCGAGATTTACGATTATACACGAATTAGCCATCAAATGTAGTCTCCCATCATGTTCTCGATATACTGTCCTTGATAGCGGCATTCAAAGTCCAATATATCCTGGTGGAAGCGCTCGCCTTGCTCCTCCGAGTACATTCCCATGTTCTCCTTGAATTTATCAAGATGAGCATCAAGGATATGAACTTTGAGGGACCTACTACAGCCCATTGTGCCGTAGTTCTTCACCAGAATCTCAACCAGCTCCACATAGTTTTCGACCTTGTGATTGCCCAGGAAGCAACGAACCACTGTGACAGAGCTGTTCCAAGCCACTTTCTCCTTACGAGTGAGCTTCTTGGGGAATTAATTGCACTCCAGGATCTTCTTTATCTGTGGTCTAACGAAGATACCGGCTTTGACCTTTACCTCGGACAGCTTAGGGAAAAAGTCTTGAAGGTACTAGAAGGTTGCCGACTCCTTATCTACAGCTCTGACATTGTTTAATGAGGCCCAATTTGATGTGCAGTGGTGGCATCAGCACCTTCCGGGGGTCCACCAGTGGCTCCCACTTGACGTTGTTCCTCTCCACAGAGAACTCGGTCCGCTGTGGCCAGTCCCGCCTGTGGTAGTGCGCCTTGGTGTCCCTGCTGTCCCTAAGGCAAAGATAGCAGGGAAACTTGGCAAAACCGCCTTGGAGACCCATCAGGAATGCCACCATGTTGAAGTCTCCGATGACCTCCCAGCCATACGCCTACTTCAAGGCGTCCAGCAAGGTCTTGATGCTGTTGTAATCCTCTTTGAGGTGCACTGAGTGAGCCAGGAAAAGAGACGGGTACTTGTTACCATTATGGAGCAGCACGGCTTTGAGGCTCCTGGATGAGCTGTCAATGAAGAGGCGCCACTCATTCTGGTTACAGGCGGTTCCGATTGCCTCGAACACTACGATAACTACTACACGACCGGCAGCGTGAAGGATGGAGGCCTTCATCCAACAGTTTATCGACAAAGAGCTGTAAATAACGCGTGCAAGATTATGGTTATTAACATTAAACATTTTTTTTTAAACGCACGTGTGGCGAGCCTGATATTCGCACCCCGTTTTCTTTTTGTCAGCTTATGATAATGTAGTTTGTAACTAATATATATTCAAATGAATGGTTTTGATGCGATGTGTATTATGAAATAAAAATAAATCCCAAACAGCGTTCACCTGCCTGGTGATCTATATACTATATCACAATGAGTGTGCGCCATCGAGAATATTCAAGTGGGGGGAATATGTTGCCCATCAATTGTACAAGTGCCTTTTTTTCATCTGCGCAGTTCAAACGGCCGCAGCCACACGCGAATTAAATTAACAGCGAGTGCTGATTTAATCACACATCTCATTAGGATAACATTTGCGGGACTGTGGTGCCTCTAAATGCACATTTCAATGAACAACAGCTTTATTATTAGTATTGTAAATCAAATGTGCGCATGCACACTGTGCTGCGGTCATGTTTCTTAAAATGCCGTAACGAGTAACGCGTTGAAATTGGCCGCTGCCGTGGTTGTAGTGGTCATAGTGGTCAGCAGCCAGCACGCCGGACGTGAACTCCAGAGGTCGCCGTCTGTTCATTCTCCCGGCTTGGCAGTTGTATTAATGTGGCAAGTTTATTAAATCCTCTCTTTACGGCCCTTCCCCCCGAAGACCCCCTCGACCCCCCCCCCCACCGCGCCAAGAAGTCTTTAAATGAGTACACCGCAGTTAGTCGATCCGGCAGTTGAAACAATGGTGCAAGTTTATTAAAATCCTTCCCCCCCCTTCGCTCGCCTCTTCTCATGGGGCTGTATAAATGGGTTAAAACCAACAGTGTCAGTCGATCGGTGAGTCGTGGGTGTGTGTGGTGGGGTAAAGAGTGGGTACTCCCCACGCCTCTTTTGAAGACATCTGGCCCGGTGTGGAAGAGAGGAGGTGAAATAGCCTCGAGATGGGGCACTGTTATTGCTCCCTCTTCAGTGGAGGCCCTCCTGCCAGCGGTGGCTTGAGCCAATAATAATTAGTGCAGCGTGCGTGGAGAAAACAAAACAGTGATGCCGGTCAAGATTTACACTCCAAAAATATGAATGCATTTAACGCCAAATTGCAATGTTCGTTATACTTTGTAATTCACATGTTTTTTTTAATGCAATAAAAATTATAGAAAGCATGCTTGCTTAAAGAAAATGAAACTTAACATAATGCACACAACAAATAATTTCTACACTTAAGCTACTGGATAATTGTCCCAGCAAATGAAATGCCATGTATTGATTGGTCATTTAATGTGACCATGAGTGTAAAATCGAAATGTCCTTCACGAAACAACGTATGGGGTTTTGTTGTTTTAAATACTCCGCACATTGTCGGAAGTTGCCTCGTGTGCAAAAGTAAGTGAAGCTGCCTCGTGTGGAATTAATGAAAACACAACGCTTTGTTCCCAGCATGTTTCATGCATTTGCTTTGCGTTACAAATTGCCTGATGCCATGCTCCAGTGCTTGTTAATCCTACAACAGGATTATGCTTAACAATCCGCATTCCTTTTCCAGGGACGTGCTGCGAGTGTGCCCTTGTCAACCCCACAGGAAAGCGAGTAAAACACAACTCCGAGTCAAACTAATGTTTTGTACAATTTGTAAATAAAAAAAATAAGTTCGACGCTGAGCAGTATAAGGGGAGGTGGGAAGCGTGAATTTCACCTTTTCAAACTGTGTTCGTTTTTTTACGAGACTTACACAATACTTCCCAGACTAAATCTTTTTTCCTGAATGTTTTAAAAAAGGCAATTGTAAAGTTGAGCGACTTAAATACAACCTTGCTAAAATAGCAAGGGTTTTTTAATTTTTATTTTGTTCTCTATAGCAATATACAGAGTTGTGTCCTAGTGTACAGTCACCTGTCAAGACTTTCTTTTACGACACTACACTACTTGAAAATACGTATTGTCTTTGTCCACCTTGAAAAGACCATGAAAGACTTGTGTTTTTTGACTTGTGTTTTTTCAAGGTGGACAATTTAGCGTTGACGGTAGAGCAGTCCCCCACGACCAACACGGCATGTGGAGGAGGCCTTCACCCAGCAGTAGATTGACAAACGGCAGAAAATTATTTTCCATATAATTTTAAAAGTATTTATGTTTTAGCCACACGCGATGGTGCTTGGGTTTGCTGTTGTAATTACGCATCCCCTTTCTTGATCTCTCTAGGTGTGGGTTGATGCTGCTGCTCAAATCTTCTTCTCCCTGGGGCCAGGCTTTGGAGTGCTCCTCGCCCTGGCGAGTTACAATAAGTTCAACAACAACTGCTACCGGTGAGACGGTGGGCGCGTGAGCCTTTGGGATGCGTGTCCTGTGTGTGTGTGTGTTTTTTTTTACGTTACATCGCAGGCTTATCCCCAATTCCATGCTGATTGTGGTATCGTCATCACGTGATGGCACGAAGGATCCATGTTTCACAGAACAGTGCAAGCCTTTGTGTGAGAGAATGGCTTCGAGGAAGCGAGAGTATCACATAACTACCTCTGAAATCTCTCGAACAAGTGACCTTTTGGTTTCATGCGAAATAGCGGGCGGCACATTCCCACCCGATACGCCACTCAGAGTAATGATGTCCGTCGCGTGACAGGCACAGTGGCGTTTTTTAATGATCGTAAGCTGGAATTCAGCAACATCAAATTTCATGTGATTCATCGCACAATCTTTTGTTGATTGTATGCCTTCTAAAAAAATGCGTATGTGGAGAAATGGAAAATCATGTTGTGCTTTCATTTGCAGCCGAGTGGAGTTTTTTCTTGATTTTAAAGTGTAACCATTGCCGTGAAGAAGTGATTGCCTGATTTGAAGCTTTCGTGACTGCAGGAATCCATACTCTTTGGTTCTTTCGGCCGCTTGTTGTTGCGATCGAAACGTCGTGGTCTATTATTTTTTCTACCTACGTGACTTTACCGAAAGAACCAAAGAGTTTGTTATTGCCTTTCATACTGTTGCATTATTCTGTGTTTGCATATAAGTTACCCGAATATATTGAATTGTCTTAACGTGGTAGATTTTAAAGGCAACTGGTATATGTTGCAAACTCCCTTTGAAACGAAAAATTAATCGCTAACGAAAATACTCAATGTATCCAGTGAATTTTCATTTAAATTTAAATACAATTTTAACTTAGAGACGAATTATATTGAAAATCTGTGTGCATACACACTAACCGGCCCATTGGATGCTGTGTAATATAACAGAATATTTGCCAACCAGGACAAGCAGTATATATGTGTAATGCTATATGATTAGATACACAATATGGCATCCAAAATACAGGGTTTGTTTTGCATTAGATAGCATAAATATAAATGTGTCTTCATATTCTTAGCTCTTTCTGTAAAGTCACAAACCGACACATCTGATGACGACCGTTTGTGTTATGGTCGAAACGTCGTGAGAATTTTTATTGTTTTATATATACTTTATTATTTTATTGTTTCCCTTCAACGTGACTTTACCGAAAGAGCTAAGAATATGAATTACTGCAGTCACGAAAGCTTTAAATCAAAATATAAATGTTGTGTCGTTAAACTCGCCACCACCCGAAAGCCAACCAGTAAGGGTTGTCACGTAAACAGAACGTGGCTAATTCGTTACTAGTACAGCACACCGGTGTATTGGAGAGTAAAATCCACAACATTTACAATCTGAGTACGACGTTTCGCCAGTAAGTACAACTAGCATCATCAGGCAACAGCCAGATTTGTGGATAAATCATCCTGTTTCGTTCGTTAAATAGAGGGGTAGATGTGTGATGGCGTCACTTGTGAGCCCTTCTTTTGCGGAAAAAAAACCCCCTGTATTATGGATGATATTGGTTGCGAAAGTCTACGTGTTAAACAATATAACATCCAGCCACATTATGTATTTTTTGTTTTTACCATGTATGTATTATGATTTGTTTTTTTTACACATCACCGCCCTTTATGCCTGGGAGTGTCAGGTCTTTTACAACGAGATAAGCGACTGGCATCACGTGTCTCATCTCAACACATTTGAAAGGGCACCGCCAATGGCAACTGTCCCTGTGCGGCAAAAAAAAGTACACAGCACCTGACCTGCAAATGGGCATTAGGCTGCCAGTAGGTTGGCGATTGTTGCTATGCGTTTACCCCAACGAATTAATTAATTTGTGGGTATATTTTCTAATTATATTCACTAATTACATGTGGATCCTTCTAATAAGCCTCTTCTTGTTGCAGGGATGCGTTGGTCACCAGCTCCGTAAACTGCTTCACCAGCTTCATGTCAGGCTTTGTAATCTTCACCGTGCTGGGCTACATGGCTGAGATGAGGAATGTGGAAGTTGAGGACGTTGCCAAAGACATGGGTATGATTGATTTATTTTCTCTCCTCAGGAAAAAACAAAAAAAAACGTCCAGAGAAACTTGCAACATTACATGCATGCAGTGCGACTTCGAATCTACTCGGATGTCTCTTCAACATTTCCGATAACGGTTGTATCACCAATGTTGCCGCACAGTCTCGCTCACAGCCGCTTTCGCTTTGGGCGACTTTAATTTTTTGTCCCTTGCAGGACCCAGCCTGCTGTTCATAACATATCCGGAAGCTATTGCTAATATGATGGGGTCCACGTTCTGGGCCATCCTCTTCTTCATGATGATGATCACTTTGGGGCTAGATAGCACGGTAAGTGAAGCGAAGGAACGCCGTGTAGAGCCAATGCCGTAAAGTTACCGTGGTCAAAACGAACTCGGAGGAGCACACACGGCACAGTTCACGCCAAAGCAAACTTTGAACCAATGATTAAGTGCAAACATGAATGAACGAAGATTCCGGTTCAAAATGTAATGATTAAATGCATTTAAATTTTCCCTTACTGGTGTTAAATATTGTACCGGCGTGTTTTGACTCGATGTGAATTTAGAACGACAGGCTGAACGTCACAGGGCTGTGTCGATGCTAAATGCCTGCGGCCTTTGAATGCTCCAGAAATATGCTACGGCTCCACACTATTCAGTGGCAACAGAAAATCTCGTTTGGACGATTGGTTATTTTGCAAAGATTTACATTCAAAATCCCTCTTAGCCCGAATGTATTTTGTCGACACGATCAGGAAAATATGAGAAGACATTAAATGCTTTGTCTGCAGCAGTGATCGCCGAGAGATTTGTCATTGGAATTACCACGCTCTTGCACCCCGTGCAACTCACAGGCGGACGCACGGACGTACACAAACGCATTGGCAATATCCTCGCCACTTATTCGAGGGAGGAGATAAAAGATGACAATAAGCCTGAAACATCTTGAAAAGAGCATTGGGACGGTTGGTGCTCCACATGCTTGCCTAAAGCGTTGCTTTCATTTCACCGGGCAATATAATTTTGCGTGGTGGAAATCACCAGATGTGGTAATAAAAACAACCCCGATGTCTATCGTAAACCGTCATTTCGACACCTCGTTAGATGGACGTTTCATCACAATGGCTGCGGAACGCCGAGCTCCCTTTTGCTGAAATGTCAAGCAAGTGTTTGTTGTGGTGTTTCTATCCTCCATTATTTGATGTTTGGATTTTGATATTGAATTTTTTTAAGTTCTACTTTAAGATATGAAGAAGGCACATTTGTGGATTCTTAGAAAGAGTTAGCAAAAAAAGCATTTTTGTTAAATATACGAGATGTATTTAAATTTTGATTAATAAAAAAAGCATTTTTTCATTTCCTGAAATAAAAAATGGGAAAATATGGAGGTGCCATTTGGAAGAAATATTACTAAATGATTCAAATAAAATAAAAACCTTGCAGGGTTAACTAGACTATGATGTTGCAAAGAGGAAGTGTTAGCCATAACTTTAAGGATTTCACACTTGCATATACCAAATACACTATATGTAGAATAATTAATATACAGTACTTAAAATTACATATAATTCCATATTGATAGAATGTAATGATAGTTGTTAGATATGCATAGAAGAGTCCAGCACACGTATGTCGAGTTGCTGGAAGTTCGGCTTTTATTCACACAGCAGTCCACACAGCAGCCCACACAGCAGTCCACACAGTCAGCAGTTCACAGCAGCCCACAGTCAGCAGTCCACACAGTCAGCAGTTCACACAGTCAGCAGTTCACACAGTCAGTAGTCCACAGCAGTCAGCAGTTCACACAGTCAGCAGTCCACAGCAGCCCACACAGCAGTCTGCACAGTCAGCAGTCCACACAGCAGTCCATAGTCCACACAGTCAGCAGACCGGACAGCAGTCCACAGCCAGCAGTCCACAGTTAACAGTCCACAGACCACACAGTCAGCAGCCCACACAGCAGTCCACACAGCAGTCCACAGTCCACACAGCCAGTAGTCCGCACAGCAGTCCACAGTCAGCCGGTCCACGCCGCAGCCCCCACAGTCAGCAGGCCACATGGAGGGAGATCTCCAGTGGACCTGGAGTGTTCCCCAAGCCGACTCTTATATCCTCTCACGACCCCTCTTTCAAGAACCTCCTTCAGCCGTGAACCTCTCGGGGGGGGGGGGGGGGGATGGTAATAAAATGTTAAACCCCACTCCCACACATTCAACATTTGAACTCGCCAGCCGAGGCCCGCCTAGAAAACAAACCATCGACCACAGCCCCCCACCCCAACACTCCCAGACTCCTTTTTTCAGTTCGCACAGCGTTGCTCTCTCCATTATCCTGAACGTAACTCCAGCATTTCTACATTCATATAATTCACATGCATCCTAAGCAATTGATTCTCACGCTCACAATTTTTACATTCGAGGGGGGGGGGGGGGCGGGAGGGATGAGGGTGAAGACCGTTCTCTCCATGCCCAGGTGAAACAAAGCAGGCCCGCGCTACGCGACAGCACTTTGCCTTCGACGAAAGAAGCAGCGGCGGCGATAAACGTTAGAAATGATTTGCCGGAGGTCGCGCGGCTACCGTGAGACGACTTGAACTCGCATTCTGACATTCCTTCCCGGCGTGATGTCTCCAGTTCGGTGGTCTGGAGGCCATCATCACAGCTGTCATGGACGAATACCCCAGCCTCTTCTCCAAACGCAGGGAGTACTTCGTGCTGGGCCTGGTTACGATCTGTTTCATGGGTGCCCTCTCCACGCTCACCTACGTACGTACCCATGCACGCGCATCTGCGTCGTAGCAAAAAAGAAAAGGTCAAGGTGGCTTGCTGCTGTTTGAGCGGGGGGATGGGGTGCTCACATCGACTGCACAGCCCCTGAGCCAGTGGTGGGAATTTTGCATTCTTAATGCCATTCCTCCTTCCCCTCCAGCACCTCCAATGTGCACGGTTGACTACGCACGGTGCAAAGGAAGTTCAACATACATGCGTGCTCACACCAAATGTACGATATTTATTTTGTATTAAATGAGGGCAGGCTGGGAGGCCGCTCCTCCTGGCTACTGCCATCCGAACGTGTTGTCGATTTGCTGCACAGGCGCATCTCCGACAATCAGCTCAAATGTTTTTGTTGCCAAAATGTCCGGGCTACGGGCCCTGGTATGCACCAGTCCTTCGTGCGTTCAACCTGCAGCTAATTTGAAAGAAATGGCTTTTAGTATTTTTATTATTATTATTCAGCCGTTTCGTTAGTTAAAAATGTCACGAGTTACTGTCATTCTGAGTGTCTGCTTTTTTCTTCCACGGTACCTTGGGCAAGTGGTTGGCTATGTACGGCGCGAAAGAAATCCAGCATCCATGCATGCATACGCATACATGCGCATGAATAGAGATATTCCTGCTGTCGATATTCATGTCCGCATAAACATTCGCTTGGCTCCCTGTGCACACTCGCTCGCTCGCTCGCTTGTGGCGGTTGTGGTGGTGGTCGGCAGGGTGGGGCGTACATCGTGAAACTGCTGGAGGAGTTCGGGTCAGGATGCTCCATCATTGGTATTGTCCTGCTGGAGGCCATCGCCGTGTCCTGGTTCTATGGTCAGTGACTGCGAGCTCGTCGTGCCGCACCGGTTAATGTCACGTCCCCTTCTCCCGAGTGTCGGGTGGCATCTGCCCAGATCGCGAATTCATGCGGGGCGCCCGCAAATGTATGAGGTTGCAGGGATAATCAATGGCGGAGCCAGAATTTTCAGGTTAGGGGGGGAGGGGGGGGGGCAACCCCTCCAGCAATGAGAAATGATAGAGGAGTTGTTAGTAAGTAAGGAGTTGTTAGTAAGTAAGGAGTTGTTAGTAAGGAGTTGTTAGTAAGTAAGGACTTGTCCCTTGCTTTTTATTCGACGCATGTGCGGCGATGGCACAGCCATCGATCGAGGGTCGAATTGGAACCGCGTTGTGTGATCGGCATCGCGCTCGCTGAAGGTGAACGCCTTCAGGGAAGTCGTGTACTGTGTACGCAACTGCGCACAATTCTGAGTCACTTATAACCGCTTTGCCGTTACTTATTGCCAATTATGGACTCATTCTATTGTCCTATCATCTCTTATAGAGTCCCTGGCACGTAATAATATGCTTCACAGTGGCAGTGGGGGTCGCAAAATGCCGATTTATTACTAATACACCCCAATAATCCAATCGAAATGAGGGATTTCGATCGGATCATGGGGGGGCACGTGCCACCCAATGGTCGAGTTCTACAGCGGGCTTTTTTGAACAGCCGCATACTTCCGGTTTTTCTGGTAATGTCTGGTGGTGTACTCTTTGGCTCTTTCGTTAAAGTCAGCAGGAGAACTGCTGTGTCTGTCTCACCTGATGACGATTGTTTGCGTTGCGATCGAAACGTCGTGATGTATTAATTTTCTATCTACGTGACTTTACCGAAAGAACCAAAGAGTATGGATTCCTGCAGTCACGAAAGCTTCAAATCTGGTGCTTTCAGGGGGTGGGTGATAATGCTCCCCCCCCCCCACCCCACTCAGGTCACAAAGCTGTTGTGGCGAGACCCAAAATGTATGAGATACGGAGACGATTATTTCACAGTTCTGCAGGTGCACCGTAAGGCGTGCGAATGGAAAACACACTCGTGAGCCACATGATGAGTAAACCGATGATAGCAAATGAAGAGTTACTTTCTGTGTTCACCTGGGGTAACATTTACATTAAAGTTTGCATGATAAATGGTAACATTATTGGATATGTGAGTGCATTTTAGGATCGCGTTTTTAGCATTTGCTATTTTATAGTTTACTGCACTAGCCCCCTCATGCATTTATTTTCTTATGACCAAGCATTAGTTTCTCCAAAGTTTCAGTTTACAGACTTCGCTGGCAACTTTGCCCATCTTAGCTGCTACAGTGTTGTCTCATCGCACCTTTGGTTAGCACGGCTGGCTACGTACGGTGCTAAACATGACCGAAGGTTAAAAATCAATGAATGTAAGAGAGAGAGAGAGACAAACGCTCATTCAGATTGTGTATCTCGAAAGACAAACTACGTTTGAGATTGTTTGCGTTTGCCATCTGGGTTCGGATTAATTCCACGAAATGCAAAGTGATCGCCGTTGCTTCGCGCGCGTGGTTTTATTTCTGTTCCGTCCAGGCGTGAAGCGTTTCTGCGCCGACATCCACTCCATGCTGGGCTTCTCGCCCGGCTACTTCTGGCGGCTGTGCTGGGTGGCCATCAGCCCCCTCTTCCTCTCCGTGAGTTCCCCTTGCATGGCGCACGCGCTCGAGAGCGAAACCTTCTTCACGCCTCAAGTTTATTTCGCCACAACCTGGGTGGAGAACTCGGGTAAGACTGGAAGAGAGTGGACAACTCGGGGAGAGACACAATTGGGTATCATTTTGCACGAGTGACCTGGGCCACCAAAACGCCAACAGTAGACTCTCGATTATTCCACGCTCATGACAGGGAGGGCGGCCGCTGGTCATTCAAAATCGCGGATAATCCAAAAATATAAATTTTCCGCAGATCTCAATGTGCCAAAAAACTACCGATCGATGATGCGCATGCTCAGTGATAACACTTTCCTGTCCCCGCGCAGAAGACTCCCGGCCGCTAAGTTGAAAGCAGAGCCACGCCAATCAGCATCGATCAATCTCCGCCCACTGTTGTTAAGATATGCAACTTTTGTCCCGTAGAGGTGATCGTGTGGATTTCGGATTAACCGGAGCAAATATTTGGTCGGTTTAAGCACGTTACTTGAAAAAAAAATTTCCAAGAATGAGAATGTATCCATGAGTTATTAATTTATTATTTGGTTCTTTCCGTTAAGTCACGTAGAAAGAAATTAAATAATAGAATACGACCTATCGATTGCAACACAAGCAGTCGTCATCAGGTAGAACTAAATTTGAGAGAGAGACAAAACACAGAAACGGAGACACACAGACAGACACAAGCAGAGAGAAAGAAAGAGAGACAACACAGAGACACGCAGAAAGCCATAGTCTCTGTGTGTCTATGCTTTCTGTCTCTCTCTGTGTGTCCTCCGTGTTGTCTCTCTTCATTTTTAGATAGGGCAAATAATTTACACCCTCAACCATAGCCACTTATACTGGTGAATAAAATCTCTTGCGTAAAAATAAATTTCGAATTAATCGCAATTAATTTATAACAATGTCACATTCATGAAAAAAAATGCTCCATAACGTACAATGGCCATTTACTAATTTTCAACATTTTCCCCCAACTTTCAAATGTATGGTGAAATGCCAGCAATATCCAAAGAATGCTAGACATCATTACATCATAAAAATAACGATCATCTGTGACTCTTTGTCAGGCTTGCCTTTTCCGTGTCAGCTGTGCGGAATGTGTGACCATACTTCCCCAAGCAGGTCGGTGCAGATTGGTGAAGGTGTTTTCAGAGGGGTTCCGGGACCATTTGAGATTATAATTGTGCGTTTGTTTACTTCCCTGTGCAGTTCATCGTTGTCAGTTTTCTGACGGGATCCAAGCCGCTCAAGCTGTTTGACTATGACTTCCCTGACTGGAGCATGATCCTGGGCTACTTTATCGCAGCATCGTCCTTCATGTTCGTACCGTTGTACATGGCTTACAAAATCCTGATCACGCCTGGTACCCTCAAGCAGGTAAGGAAGTGGCTGTTTACAAACGCGCTGGTGGAACTTGAGAAAAATGTAAAGCGCGTTGAAAAGCGCGCGCCTGATCACCGGCGAGGCCTCGGGCCTTTGGGCCATACTTGTACCGAGTAGGATCCTCTGTATCGTCATCACAATCGGATATTTTCTATCCACCGCTGGATGAAGGCCTTCCCACGCCATTGCACACCATCATGGGCTTGCGCTGCCGCGATCCACGTAGCACCTCCCCATGAGCTGATCTCATTGCTCCACCTGCATGGTCGTCGTTCTCTCCGGCATATTCGCTCCTTTGGCTGCGCTCTGATTTACATCTGTTCCACACGCCTGGAACTTCGCTCTGCACCTGGGGTGACCGAGCCTTTGCATGCGCTGTGCCAAGACAATGGAATGCCCTCCCACCAGTGGTATGACAAGCGAGCTCACTCGCCTTGTTTAGGTCTTCTCTAAAGACTCAGCTCTTTCGCCTGGCCTACACTTTCCACGTATGACCAGTTTCCCTGGATGAATTGCGCCTTATAAATGTAAATTATAATATTTTTTCCGTCACCACCTTCCCTTCCAATGATGCGTCCTGCCCAAAGGCACCTTTCTTTAAAGTCATTGTGACGATTCTCTGACGAGTGCTTTGTGCCTTCATCCACCCATTTCCCTTTCTGTCTCTCACTGCGGCATTCTTCTCTCCATACTATATTGCACGTCAACAATTATTCAATTTAATAGTTTGCAATATGCAGTGATTTCCCCATGTTTATTTTCAGACACATTGGCATACTCTTACGTATAATTATATTTGTACTGTACAGGTGTTTAACCCCTCCATAATTATTTCGCACATTGCCATTTTTTATGCCTGCCCTTTATAACTACAATGCCTACTATGACCGCATCACCCAGAATGCATCTGATCTGTTTAGAACTGACAACCAAAGCAGAGTTTGGCCTGGATAGTGCCCAAACAGGTTCTCATAGGGCAGCAGTGTGGCAAAATCCATTGTTGTACCATACACATTTATATATGTTCCGAAGTCTTGGCTAGCACAGTGAGGTATGGTCAAATAAACCCCCGTGATCCACACAACCAACAGTGAATTGACAAAAGGGCTGTACATGTACCTGTAGAACTACACTAGAAGGCCAGGGTTACTCATATCCAGAGTAGCATGCCTGCATCAGAATTTGCCGTTCACATTCCCCCACCAGTATAATGCAAGGGATGCGTCGCTTCCATCCATGCCGATGCAAGGAATGCCTACGACCATCGTCGCCTGGATAATCTATATATAAGGGAAATCTATATATAAGGGAAATTTGTGAATATGTGTGTATGTTCTAAATGTTTAGCATACTTCCCAACATGCAACAAACTTACAATTTGGCATGTGGGTAGCTTCCAGACTGTACACAACGCAAAAAGTATAAAAATAGAGTTTTGTATTTTGGGGGGTGGGGGGGGGGGGCGCAATAATGGATATATTTTACTCGGCAAGTGAGCGGTGACGTCACATCTGTAATGTCACCCGCATGCGGCAGCGTCACGCAGTGTGCCTGCTGACGTCACGCATCCCCCCCCCCCCACCCTCCGCGTAGGCCGTGTATTAATCCAAGACAAGAATCCAAGTCTCGGGCGAAGCCGGGTAGTAAAGCTAGTAACGCATGCGAACAACACGTCGCGGCTCGTAAGCCGTGTCAGCCCGCCGTCGAATAAACGACTTTGTCTCCGTTGTTTTTCCCGTTGCTGCAGAGGCTGTACGCGAGCATCAAGCCCGAAGAGAGCGGAATCGCCAGGTCCCAAGAGCAACTCAGGATGACTGTTATCCCGTGAACGTGCGGCCGTTTCAAAGGGGCTCCAGTTTTTCTTTTTTCGGTTGCATTCATGCAGTTTTTTTTTTGGTCATGAAGGGAATCCAGTCAGGCTGAGCCACCTATCCACCTTACAGCGCTGCTCCGCTTTGGGAAATCTGTGCCATTTCCTTCCACTTGCTTTGCAAGGCGTTTCGCATTTCGATGGTGATGTTAGCACTTAGGTGAGCCTGCAGAGGATGAAGCTAGAGGTTGAACTAGAAGGGAATTGAAAGCAAACTTATGAAGTAATAGAAGCTAGAAGTTCATGTAAACTCTTTTTACCGGAATGTATTGACATAGATATAATTTAGTGTTGTAATATATTTTCAGATAATTTAAATGTGAGGGTGTTTTTGTTTGTTATTCTTCTGCCTAAATGCTTATGCCCCGTTGTAATTGGTATCCAAACGCGATGCATTTTGGAAACAAGATATCCCGTCATGCTGCATCCGATGACAGACTCGGAAACTCCTACGGTAAACGAATTGGCGGCGCTGGCTCCCAGAACCAACGGGCAATTGTCAGATGCTCAAATTAAAATTTGATGCATGCATAGGATGGACAGCTGCACATTTGACGTAGGCACACCGTTTGCACTTTGGGTTGGGTTTTAGTTCCAAAATAAAAGTAACATTCAGAACGTTGAGAGGACATATTTACTAAGTGGGGGGGGGGGGAGGGAACAGGCAAGATTTTATCTCATCGCGTTTCATTTGCAAATACAAAAATAAATCAAGAACTGGAGACAATAAAAGGTCATAAGTGTGGTTGGTGCAGCAAAGGTCAGCATTGCAAGTCTCTTGGACATGTTCGCATGTTCACGTGCTACCACGTAGGTTTCGCGTTTTTCCTGTGCAGCTCACCAATGTAATTTCGGGTCGTACCACGTGGTGTTTGGCCTGAAGTCCGACATTTCCCCCCCTCCCCCCCCCCCACGTGCTGGAAGCTGAATTGCAGAAGCTCCTTAGCACGCGAAGGGAAATGTCGGAGATTATGCTGATCAACGTGTGCTGTACAAGCTGAAAACACATCTGAGAGAGATCTACTTGGTCTTCACTAAGATGAAGTGGACAGGGGGCATTATAAACGTGTACTTGATACAGTAGCACAGGCTCTCTGTGCTTTTGCCATGGCCCGACTACTCACGTGATGTTCTATTTACCCGCCGGGTTTATAGTAAAACATGTCATAGAGAGAGGTTTCCGATGTACGTCTTAGGCTATGAGATTGTGTTCACCTGAAAAGTAAGAATGTGTTCACATACTCTCAGCCAGTGCAATTTATGTTGGCTGCTTGACACAAATAAGGACACTTTAAATGACTGCTACTCTGATGCTGTTTTCGTCTGCCCATTGTATTTGTGCAATTAAAAACATATATAAACGTATATAACAATACAGTTAAGTGCCAATGATAAACATCTATTTATTATGATTTTATTATTAAAAGCCCCCATGCTTTGGGGGCTATCAGTTCAGTATAACCTAACCTTAATGTCAACCAGTCTGTGTGTTTCATGCTACACCAATGTCAAGAAGACAATCTTGGATTAAAGTTCTGGAAAGGGCAAATACATTTGTGGTGTAAGGAAGACAACTTTAAGATATTATGGTATATTCGTGTTATATGTGTAGTGTATTTGACTAAAATACACGTAATTAAAAACTGCGTAAGAACATTTCCCAAGGACTTTGCTGAATTTTCCCCTGGACAAAGAATCGTGAGTGTGGAAAAACAACGCACAGCGTGATCTAACAAGCTGAAATAAAATATTCGATTAAACTCATCCTATTACATCCTTATCATCACGTCTGCATTCTTTACTGAAATGCCATCTCACAGGATGGAGTAAATTACTTGGAAATCCTACGAAAGCTTTACTGTTAGTGGGCTCCTAATGGCCGTTGATTCTATTAATACGAGGCAATGGAATTAGTGGTAAAGAAGCAACGTTGCTCTGTATTATACAGCTGTGTTTATTACACTTTCGATAACGTTCAGGTCTGAACGTTCCTTGCGTTTCCCATGCCGATCGTAGGAAGCGGCGTAAGAGAGACATAATACGTGGAGAAACATCGATGGGATTTGTATGCGAGCCAAGCGTAGTGTGATTGCTTACCGCCCTGTACGTGATATAAAACCAAACGTTAAGACTGTAACTTATCCTCAATACGTTGACAATTTATTTGAATATATCTGCATGAATGTTAACCCTGGTAAAAAAAAAAATATTCAATTTATGTACCTTATAATGTTGAACTGTATTGTAAGTAAAGAATTCTATCTGGTATGTGTGTGTGCGCGCGCATGTACGCATGTACGCATGTAAGCGTGTGCGCGTGTGTGTGAAAATTAAAATTGATGTGTAACGTTGTGAATTTGCATCATACTTAGTAATGTAGTAAGTTCCTCCGCCGATAAACAAAACATTAAAAACACAAAACGCTGATGAACTTGTGCTTGTTGAAATCGTGTTGAATCACATTGTCAAGAACCAAAATTATGAAATCGGTGGAAAATTGCATCGATGTGCCCTGCGTGATCTGCTTCCTGCCGAAAAGGTTGTGTGCGTACCTTTTGAGCTTGTTCGACTAGGTTTACCGTGTCACAGTATTGAGGTCATCTCTTTATGTGGCAGCAAATTGCAGCCAGTGCCTCTATATTACGACGTGACCTCAAGGCGGAAAATGCAAGGAACTCCTCTCGTGAGAAGCTGCGTGGACACAGTAAATTGTATTGCAATGCAGTGTTTCACAACGGCGCATTCCTCATGAGCATTAAATTAACCATGTGTCGCATTTAAACACTATAATATCCCAGAGTTTGGATAATAGGATATAAAAGCACGCTATATTCAATTTGGGGGAGGTGTGCTCTGGGCTACATCAAGCGCAGCTCAATTCTAATTTATGACCTCTTCCTGACCCCTGTTAAACATCAAAACAGGCCGGTATGAAAACCTCTGACAATTTGTTTTCATTCATGAGCCCCATATATATGTTTTTTTCTATATAAATGAACACAAACAGTGGAATCTATGTCTTGTACCAGATGGCAAGCAAGAACAAAATTAGTATAATTGGTAAACCACAAAAGCGAATTACGAATACCGTAAAATAAATGGTGTTCATCTGTGCACTCTTATAGCACACTCAAAAAAATGAAAGAACATCTCCTTTTAAGTATGACAGGAAACCTTAAGAAGAAAATAATATCATCGAGAACTAATATAATTGCTTCGGGTTATCACCTGCAACAAGCAGAATGGCATTATCAATGTAACTCGTATCCTGTGAGAGGCATTAACAACTATTGGTATTTGTGTGTAATTTGTAAAAACATTTTTTTTAAGAATGTATCAAAATCAACATTTAAAACGCTCGCTGTTCCCTGCAGACCAGGGCATTCGGGATGAGCGAGCTAAAGAGCTCATTAGTTTGATATTAGGAAAAAGCTTGCGATGATGGATTTTTGAAGCTTGCCAGAGCTGAGTGCTGGCTAAGAGGACTGGAATCAAAATTGGGGTTGTGCTTATATTTATGATTGATTCAAAGTGGCAACAATGAAAACAATCATACACCTGCAATCGTCAGGCACAGGCACAGTAATAATATAAAGTAAATTAATGAGAAGAAAACAACTGCCCTGTGTGACATTAAAGCGAATGAAACATCAACGGGCCGATGCACACATCTCCTACATTAAGGGAAAATGAACGATATGTCACAGTGCGATTGTGACCATGTAACCCAAACTATGGACCACATAGTAAACCACCGTAGTCTGTGCCCCTTCAACAAAGAAGGAATGGCAACGTAACACCAACTCTCACCTGAAGCCCTCTCGTCGTGGCTAGCAGAGCTCAACATTGGCATTTAGCTCCTGAACACATTTCCATATGCAAGAATATATTACCGAAATAAATACAAATATCCTTGGAATCAAGATGCATTGCGAGCAAAATATAGTTTTAAAGAAATGTTTCATAACCTCAGCTTTATTTTCTCAAGAGAAACATGATGCATAATTGAATATAAGAAGCAATATAATCATCTTCCATTTCCAAAATATTGCATTAAATGTTCAATGTTGAGCACGATCTGAAGTTCGTTAAATGATGTTGTTGAAATGTTAGTATAGCATATAAACTTGCAACAGTAAGCAATCATAGTCACACTGCATCAATGAGTTGTATAAGGGTTAACCTGGTATACAGTTGCCCTGGTCTCCTGCACAAAGTGCTATACGGTATTGCGTCATGTCCATATTGGGTTCTACATCATCGACAAATCCGCTTGCCCATGGTGACGTCGCGGCTGTGACAGCCACGACTTCTGCTGCCGCCTGTCTCCAGGGTAACGCGTGGTATCTGTCATTGTACATCAAAGGCCGGGAAGCCTTTTTTCTACCCGAAGACTGAACAAGACTTTCAAATGCGTACTTTTTGGCGGGCAAGCTCACCGTTCATTAACACGCGCACAACGCCTTCACTTCTGTTACCGTGTTGCCAAGGCCGATGCAATAAATACATTAAAAAAAACTACTGTGTTGTTGCCAGGTACAAAAAAAAACATTCCCCATCCAGTACCCGATTAGCACCACTCGAATGCCTGCAGTGAGGAGATTGATATAATCCGTTGGCCGTTTCGAAGTGAAAGGTCTCATGTGGCTGAAGTCCCCATGAAATTAAGTCATGGGCCATATCGGGCCTGTGGGCCAAAGGTTCCCCACATATTGGTCTGCACAGTTACCAGCAGTCTCGCTTAACACTGCTTCTCTTAGTCTGCCGACCGTGACGCTTGTTTATCACTTGTACAATAACGCCATTCTTAATACCGTCGCGTAAAACTTTCAACGGCTGTGCGCAGACTTATCCTGCAATTATTTACGTTTTTTGTCAAAATTAAATGCGCAACCAACGGCACAGCAACACATAGCAAGGACGTGTGTTTAGGAACATTGAAAGCGGTTGCACATTGGGATGAAAAATAAATAGAACATAAATATTTAAAAAAATAGTAAAAATAAACGAAGACACGGGTATGTACCCATTGAGATTCGAAGTAAGTTTGCTCCAAATGTCACAAATATTCACGAGAGAGATCCGCAAAGTCTTGAATGAGAAAATAAATACGCGGCCTCCTGATAACTGACGTCTGAGGCCAGGAGATGTTTCGTGGTATCTACTTGCAAAATCCTTATTACTCAGGACACACGGTAAATATACTGAAGCAACAAAACTCTTGCCAAAACACCCAGACTCGGATTGATTTCGAGGGATCTCTGAAGCTATGTATGGCACTTAAGTATTTTAGAGGTCATGTCCAGCTTGGCCGCTAAAAATGTAATTGTTTTAAAGATAATGTGTCAGTGGATCCGGGTGTTGGCATGCACACAACGATAAACGTGGAGACTTCTTCCGTTTTATTATCAAACTCCAACTCCAAACCTGTACACAAAAAGCATCACACTAGGCTTCTCATTCCACACTATCCATAAAGCGTGCACTTGTCCATAACTCCCAAAAACTAGTACCGAGGGGAGACCAGGGGATGCGGATGCATGTAGGGTGGGTGGAGGTGTAGGGATTAGCAGAGGTGTCAATCACAGATGTTTAAATTCAACAGGACCGACCTACGTCTCTGGTTTATTGACCTGGTCAAGGCCTATTATATCATCAATAGGCTAGTGCTCTGGGTTATTATTCGTGCTTTTGGAGTTCCTGACCCTCTGCTCACAACAATTAAGGTAGGTTCATAAAACAGTCGGCAGGCCCGGGTAAATCTGAATGACTGTGAGTCAGAGCCATTCCCTGCTCACCTTGGGGTACGACAGGGATGTCCCCTGGCTCATGCATTAAAAACAAATATTACAACCACGTAGTTCGAGAAGCGTTTCCATGGCTGTAACAGAAGAATTTCCATCTGGTACAAATAAAATGGGAGACTGATTTATGTCCGAGTACAGTAAAGGGATGCTCCCTATTGGTCAACTCGGTATGCTGATAATCTGATAATTAATTGCTGCTCACTTTGAAAACGAGTTGGAGTCTTAGCTGCTGAACCTGGAGCATGCCACTAAGAGATGGGGCCTTACCATTGGCCTCACCAAAACGAACACCTGCCTGGGTATTTTATGTGATCAAATACACTATCCTCTCAGCTTCCCATGAGTTATGGACCAGTTGTGGAGAGAGTATAGAAGTTTCTGGATCTGACCAACTCTGGGTTGGCACCAGAGGTCTCACTCGAAATCAGTCGGGTGGCATTATCTTTTCATCAGCTGCATACTGCTGTGTGGAAACTACCTGGCTTGTCACTCCACACAAAGCTTCGTGTATTCTCGGCCACAGTCATGTTCTCCCTTCTCTACGCTTGTGAAATGTGGACTCTTCTAATAGAACATCTGCATTGGTTTTAAACATTCGGGCTGGCCTGCCTACGATCCGTCCTGGGATTAACCAGACTGCATTGTGTGAGGAGCTCGCAGATCCTTGAAAGATCTGGGCGCAGTCCCATTGGTTAGCTCCTCCGGCAAGCGAGGCTGCATTGGCCGGGCCACGTAGCCTGTGTGCCCAACCACCGCATGCCAAAGCAGCTTCTGGATACAGGGGATTAAACGGGCACGGCAGAGGCTAGTGGAGAGATTGACTGATGTGGTACTGAAGGATGTGGAGCTGGGTGGTCTTGCCAAAGACCGGTACTAGCGGTGTCAAGATCTGCCTCTGTGGAGTAGGCTCGTGAAGGACTCTACTGGGCATTGGAGGCAGTCGTCCTCCAACAACAACGGGGGGCAGGGAGCGAGACAACAATAAGCAGAGCGTCAGGCAGCTAACACACAGCAAGTTGGCAAAGTGGGGAACGCAGGTGGGGCATCTGCCAGTCATTCTATTGAGTCAACCCATGGCACTTGGGTCTGTCCCGTGACCTCCTGCCAGCGGGCTTTCCACACTTCATGTGGCCTCAAAGTGCGCCTAGCCTGGCACAAGTGCTGTAGTGATGTCACAGTCACTTAGTGGCGAGTGGTGGCTGTTGTATATCTCACTCTATTGCCTAACTATAATTCTTTAATAATGTAGATTAAGTCTAGTAATATGAGTATAAAAGCTGACTGAGATGTAGATAAAACGTGCAGGTTTTAAAATAGCTATTGTTTAAAGTATACTGTACTGTATATTGCACATCTCAGTAAACATGCTTCGTTAGCCCAATGTTGGCCCGACGTTCCCTGTTTGCTGAGATATGTATATATGTATACAACTTAAATACATTACTGGTTCTTCAAAAATTCTGCTGCTGCTGCGTTGGTCGTGGTGCACAAGCACAAATAAAAAAGATAAACTCAGGACAGTCATCAATAGCACCGCTTTTAAAATCTCAAATATATTTTAGCCGGCGTGTCAGGTGATGGCCCTTGAATGGCAGTGCCTCTAGTGCGCCATGAAGAAGC